TGCGCCCCCAGCTTGGCCCATTCCACACAGTGCCGAGACGGGCCCAGTTCTGCACCCCCAGCTTGGCCCATTCCACACAGTGCCGGGACCGGTCCAGTTCTGCACCTCCCAAAGCCTGTCCAAGGCATTCCCTGCAAAGGAGGCAGCTCTGACAAATACAATAATGAATCATAAATTTTATTTCAAAATGTAAACGTCACTAATCATGCATACACGTTAAAACAATCAAATTTACAATTTAGTTCATTGTTTTTCTTTTTGCATAGGACATCCTTACAATATAGACTCTATGCCATACAAAATACATACAAAGTTTTAGGGGTGAGCCAAGGCCAGACTGGGAACCACGGCCTGCAACACTCCCCTGGAGTGGCCAGCGGGCCGGCGGCCTCTGGAAGCGGCGTGATGCTGGTCAGACAACAAGGAAGTCCCTACGGAAAAGGGAAGTGTGAGCTCGGCGGAAACGGTCGCGGACCCTTGGACTCGGCCTGGGGAGTTTGGCGGATGATTCCAGGGACACTCCATCAATGGCTTCGGACAGGGAAGGGGTCATTTGTGCGGTGGGTCTGGGGGCGGCTGAGTCCCCCACGCATGCACCCCACACACCCACACAAGCAATCCCACACCCACAATGCATAGCTGTGCAGACAGCCACGTGCCCACCCGTCGAGCCCTGGAGCCTGGGCACTTGGCACACAGATTTCCAGGGTGAGGCTAGGGAGCGAAATCTCCCACCCCCCGCCCCAGACAGGTCCCTGACCCAGGAACAGATGCCACCCCAGGTGTCTGAGCCACGCTGGGAGGTGGCCTCCTCTCTCCTCAACCCAGCCACGTCCAGCCCAGCCAGCCTGTTCTGAGTGGGAGAGACAGCTTCAGGCAGACCTGTGGGCGCCTTGCAGGCAGTCAGCTCCCACACTTGGTTTGCAAGTGAGGTGTACCGCTAGGAAGACGCCCCAGGCCCTGTGAGCAAGCTGCTCCTGCAGCCCCGCCCCCTCCCTGTATCCCCATCCGGTTCACCTTTAAATCAAAGCAGTAAGGTGTTAAAGCTTCATGAGAAGGGGAGAGGCTGGGCAGGGCCAGGTGGCCACAATGCAAGTCCCATGTCACAATAGGAGGTCAGTAGACACCAAGGGGGCCCCTGTTCCCTTGTGGACAGCGGGTGGGGGGAGGGCCTCTCCCTACACGATGCTCAGGCATTGATCAGTAGTGGGCTGGATTGTGCGTCCAAATTCTGATACAAAAGTCTCTGGAATGTGTCTGGACAAACCTCTGAAGCCAGCCTTGGAATCAGGAAACCGGCAAAGGACCTGGCCCTCGCCAGGGTGATGCCAACCCCCCAAGGTCAGCCCACGTCCTCACGGTTAGCTTTGGAACATGCGGTCACCAGGATCGCACATGGAACCTTTGGGCGGCAAAAGACGCGGGGGACCCGCAAAGCACTTCCAACTGGTTGTGACGCGACCGATGCTTCTGACCCGGTCCATCTTCTGCCACTTCTGTCTCTGACTGAGTGCCTTCTTAAACGTGGGGCTCCAAAATCAGTGCCACCTGCCCGGACCAGGCAGCCTTGTGAACACGGCCAGACCAGGAGTCGGAGATGAGGGGTGCTATGCTCTCGCCAGGCCGCCGGCCGGAGTCCCTGGGAGCGTGGTGACCCTGTGCGGTCCCTTAGCACCAGCTCATGGCAAGAAAAATGGCGGTGGCTTCTGGACGCCGGCTGGGGAGCCAGGCTGGTCTGCCGCACTCTCCTGGGACCACAGGAAGCCAACAAGCGGTCCGAGGGCCAGGCGTGAGCTGGGACCCGGGCGGGAGACCTGGGCCCGGGGATGCCAACGCTTTGCACCTGGAGGCTGCACCCGTGATCCTGGCACCTGCCTGAGTGTAGACTCAGTGGAGGGGGGTCCTGACCCTCAGATGACGTGAGTGGGCAGGACACAGCGGGGCACTGCAGACCACGTTCCCATCCAGGGTGTCACTGCCCGTTCCTACGCAGGACCCAACAGCAGAGGACCCCAGGGCCTACGGAAGGGGCCGTGTCCGGCCGTCTCTCCCGAAGGCTGTAGGACTCAGTGGGGGAGCAGACACCGTTCCCCTAATATGGCTGAGACAAAAAGGGACGGCCCCATGTGGGACATGAGCCCCAATGGCTGGGTCCAGGTTCACCACGAGGCCCTTTGGAGGGGAGCTCTCCCTCCTCAGACAAGCTTTGTTAGAGATCTCTGCCCCCGTGACCTGCAGGCCCTGGGGTCAACCACAAAATAAAGGCTTTCGCTCTGATTTCCCGGAGTCCTAAGGGTTCCTCAGTCACCCTGAAGCCAGCAAGCATAGCCATAAACCAGACAAATGAAAGACCCTGAAACAGACCCGGCTGGGAAGACATTCTACATCCTAGAAGAAAATGCAGGCTGTCCCCAGAGGGTCCCCGGGGCCTGCGTGAGGGCGCTGCCAGGCGCACCCCTTCTCCACACGCACTCCCGGTTCCTGAGGAGATGAGAGGGAACCCCACAGGACGGCCTGGGTTCCTCGGCTCCCCCCACCCTCCGAGGGTGAGGGCGCCCAGGTCTGCAGATAAACCAGGGCGGGGCGCTGGCCGGAGCCCCAGGCCGGGTGCCTGGCGGGATTCCCTCCCGACGCCCAGCTCCCAGGCCAGGCCCACACCCTGCGATCAGAACAGAACCACTTTGGGAACGAAGACACGCTCGTTTGCCAAAAATAGCCGACGCCTGCATATTTCTGTTTTAAGGCAATGTTACCTTCCATCACCAGACGGAACAGCCCTGGGTCACTTAGAGGAAAAATTAAATTAAGTTCTCTCTTTGGAAACAGCAAACGCCCAGTTTCCCGCCCCCACCCCCCACCCGCCTCCGAAACAAACCAGCTCTTCTTTTATTCCAAGGTGACTGCTCCCCCTTCCTTTGTGCAGAACGGACAGGCCAGAAGCCCTCCCCCCAGCGCCAGGGCGGACACACGGGGAGCCCAGCTGCTCCAGGGACAGCACTGGGGGCCTCCCTCCACCCCCACCTTCGGGGACCTGTGGACGGTAAGTGCACCAAAGGACTTTGGAATAAAATTCCTGAACCTGGAATGTGAGTTCCTGAGACATGAAATGTATTCAGAGTGTGGCTTTCTCGGCTTCACACGGAAACAGCGTGGGAGGGGCCTCCAGAGCCCGGCCAGTCTCGCTGTGGAACTGGGCACGAAGACATTTCACCCCGAGCACCGGGGGTCCTTCTGCCCAGGCCTCCGCGCAGCCCACCCTCTCTCCCGGATCCACGGCAGCCCAGACAAAGCCCAGCGGCAGGGGCTGCAAGCTCTACACCCCGGCCTGGGGGGCACCCCCACTGCTCCACCCACAGCAAGAACACTGATGCCCAACCCGGACCCATCACGCTACTCAGAAGCCACCACATGCCACTGGCCAACCCAGCAGACAGAGCAGGCGGGCTCCACCCTCCTGGCTGCTAGGGCCAGGGGAAGCCGCCCCTCTGCAGCTGGCCGGAGCGGTGGCCAGGGGCTGAGCACCCGCCAGGCCTGGGCGCCAGGGCTCTAGGTGCTGCCCCTCACACCGAGAGAGAGGGTGGGTGGAAGCTGGCCACAACCAAGGCACTCTGGGCCCACGAAGCCCACCTGAGGTCCCAAGGGTCATTCCTCCTCATCAAAATGGGCAGGGGTCTCTGTAAGACACTCCAAGTACACCCCAGACCCACACCCCCCGCCCACCCAACACACACGTACACACACGCACACACACTGTCCTGAGGGCTTGTATGTACAGGCCCAACTCCGCACAGGGGCGCTGGGAGGACGCCCGGCTGTCTGCAGAGGAGACGGTGCAGGAGCCCGGCCTCAGTGACCCACCAGGGTTCGCACCCCAGGCCGGCGTCGGGAAGAAACTGCCCAGCTCTCCAGCTTCCTCTGCAGCAGGCTGGCAGGGTGTGGGCGGGTCTCCCAGGCGGCGGAGAAGCAGGAGGGAGGGGAGGAGCCAGGGGACCGGAGCTCCCAGGAAGCTGGAGGTGTGCTCATTCTGAGCTGGGGACATGGTGACAGCGTTCCTGCAGCTTCCCGCCTGCTGCTCGTGGGGAGGGAACAGACGCGCATGTTCTGAGACAGCACGTCCGGCCACTCCTGGGGAGTTCCAAGTCACTGTGTCCCCGGGTCCTGCTACCAACCAGTCTGTTCGAGGAACCGAGCGTGGCCACATGCTGGGCCACACACACAGCCTCCGGTGAGGTGGCCAGACAATTTACCCACCAGTTCGAGCAAAGGTGTCCCCGGAGCAGAGAGCAGGGAGCTAGATGTACCCGATGGGACAACTCAGTAAAAGACGGGGCTCCAGGCTGTTTTCCAGAGAACATGGTGTAATCGTGACCGTCCCCGGTGCCTTCTGCAGGGGCCGAGCAGCGGGCACCCCTGTTCAGGGCACGTACCTGGGCAGGCCAAGGGCTGGCAGGGGGAGCCCCGGTGCTGTGGCTTCGGCCGTCAATGGTGCACTGGTCTCCCGACCAGGCTCTGTTCCTCCTCGCCCAGCGCCCCCCAGAGAGGCAAGAGGGGTAAGAGGGGCTCCTGGAGGCAGACTCGGGGAGACGGCCCCCCTGGGGGGTGTGCTCCTTTGCCCAGCTCGGCTTAAGGCATCCCTCCGACCCGTCTAAGTCCTGCACCTGGCCGGCTGCTGGGACAGAGGCTGCAGGCTGGGCGGTGGCAGCCAGACAGGGACCAGGCACCCTGCTTGCGCACCTGCCCTGGAAGCAAAAACGTCAGTGACCACTCGGCTCCTAGTGACCGAAGGACGGACCTGCAGGCTGGACGCTGAGCTCCACCTGCTCGGCTCCCCCGCTGTCCCCAGAGTGTCCCCGAGCGAGCCCAGCAGAGTGCAAATCTATGTACAGAGTAAGGCGGCAGGAAGGGGTGTCCTCACTGACCTCTGGACCATGTCCATCCCTGAGAAAGGGGTTCGACACCGCCGACTCTCACCTTCGTGGGTCTGTCCATTGTGCAATTCGTGGGTGGTGTTTTTTGAAAAACATTTTTTTGTTGGTTTTTTTTGTGGTTTTTTTTTTTTTTACAAATTGAGTTAGACACCTGAGGTGAAGAAATTGGAGGGGGGGGGGTTGTGGTGGACTCCATCAAGTTCTGTCTCTTTTCTGATGACAAAAGGAAAAGACGGGGTCACAGAGGACGTGAGCACCTGCATGCTCATGGCTGTAGTGGGGAACCCACGGCGAGACAGGGGCGGGGTGGGGCTGTGCTGCTGCGGCCGGCCGGGCTCAGGGCGAGCTGGCCGGGCTGATGGTGGGGCTGCTGGCGTCGGAGCGGCTGTAGTCGCTGAGCGAGCCGGTGCGGGAGCCGCCCGCGCGCCGCTGCAGCATGCCCGGGTGGAAGTTGGCGTGGCGGCGCGCGTGCTTGGTCAGGTGGTCGCTGCGCATGAAGCGCTTGCCGCAGATGGGGCAGCTGAACTTCTTCTCGCCCGTGTGCGTGCGGTAGTGGCGCGCCAGCTCGTCGGAGCGCGCGAACTTCTTGCTGCAGTCCGGCCAGCTGCAGGCGAAGGGCCTCTCACCTGCGGGGACACGCACAGCGTCAGTGGGCGCGCAGCCACCCCCAGCGGCTCCGCCGCCCCTGGCCGCCCCCGCCCTGCTGCGCCCTCTTTCTCCGTACCCCACCACCACCCGTGCATGGCAAATCCATCAAGGCAACGATGTGCATGCCTGTGCCCTCCTGCACGGACCTGGGGTGGAAGCAGACCTCTCCCAGGGTGACTGGCAGGGCCCCCTCTAGTACACACCAGAGCATGCCAGCCAGCAGCCTGTGCAGCCCAGCTCTCCCCAGCCTAATACTGAGCCAGGAGGGAAGTCGGGGCCAGGGAGGGGTCCGCACCTGGGAGAGGCCAGCTACCCCACCTGGCCCACACCCCTGCAGGCACTCTCTCATCTCCCATCTGTAGCAGGAGGGCGTCTGCTCTGCAAGTCTGACCAAGATGTCTGGGTCAGCTCAGCAGGCTCCCACCAGAGTCTGCTGCTCCTTCCCGCAGAGAAGTCCCAAAGCGGCCAATTGGTGACAGCCAGCAGGACAGGAATTGCAACAGGAAACTCCTGCAGCACCGAGAAGGGTGAGACAGACGAGGGTGGCTGCCCAGAACACGAAGTGACAGGGAGGTAGCAAAGGTCAGCTGTGGACAAGACCCTGCCCCCTTCCCTCCCATCCCTCCCATCCCTGGGTCAGAGCGAGGGACAGGCCTGCATTTACCCAGGCAGACTCTGAACCACGGAAAATGATGCCAACTGCTCGGGAAGAACCAGTGGGAGGGCCTGGCACCCCAGACTGCAGCCCTTCTGGCACTGGGGTGGGCACACAGCCACCTTGCCCGCTCCAGTCCTTGAAGCTGGCCCACCTGTGCCCAGAGGAAACCCACACCACCCATCCCGAATGAGCTCATCAAACTGAAATATAAACAGACACCCAAGGACGGCCAGGTGGCCAAGGAAAACCAGCAGCATGAAAGGGAAAAGCCAAGAGCCACAAAGCCAGCGACTCCAGCGGAAAAAGAAGGAAGCCAGGAAACAGAAGAGCGTTAGCCTGAGACTCCTAATGAGCATTCTCGGGGACATTGCAGACAGAGCTCGATGCAAAAAGCAAACAGGAGACCACGAAAAGGAACTCCAGAGAACCAAACACTGTTTAGAAGTTGGGAGTATCTTTGCCCAAACAGAAATTCCAGAGTAAAGCTGGAAATATCCCCAGAGCACAGAACAGAAACGTGCTCTAGAAAAACATGTCCACGTCAGTGTCCTTGTCTCCTGGCAGCGCGGACGCCGGCCCTGTGTGGCGGCTGTATGCCCGTCCTTCCTGATTTTATCATGCTCCGGGGCGTGGGGGGGGCCATGGTGTGGGGGCCTGGTGCGGGGGGCCTGGTGGGGGGCGGCCTGGTGCGGGGGGCATGGTGTGGAGGGGCATGGTGTGGGGGCCTGGTGCGGGGGGCATGGTGTGGAGGGGCATGATGTGGGGGCCTGGTGCGGGGGGCATGGTGTGGGGGCATGGTGTGGAGGGGCATGGTGTGGGGGCCTGGTGCGGGGGGCATGGTGGGGGGGCCATGGTGTGGGGGCCTGGTGCGGGGGGCATGGTGTGGAGGGGCATGGTGTAGAGGGGCATGGTGCGGGGGGGCATGGTGTGGAGGGGCATGGTGCTGGGGGGCACGGTGCGGGGGGGCCTGGTGGGGGGGTGGGGGAGGACATGGTGTGGGGGGCTGGTGGGGGGGAGGGCATGGTGTGGGGGGAGAGCATGGTGGGGGAGCATGGTGTGGGGGGAGGGCATGGTGTGGGGGGCATGGTGTGGGGGGAGGGCATGAAATCAAACAGGAAAGCAGACCATCCATCCCCAACCTATGTGATGATTATAAACAGTAGAAACTAACAGTTCAGAGTTTCAGGGAATGGGGTACCCGCCTAACAGAAGACTGAGTAAAAGGAGAGAAGAAAAGGAGGAGAGGCGGTCACCCAGAAACCACAGCATCTGGCAGGTTAGAGAAAGAAAAGGGAGGCGGGGCTGACAGGTGGGCAGGGCGGGGAGCAGGGCTCCTCTGAGAATCTCTGCAGAGTCAGAACGCTGGGTACAAAGAGGAGACGGACTTCAGAGAGAGAGGCAAGACCAAGGAACATCGGGTCACCCCTGCGGGATCAAGGCTGCGACAGGCTTCTCATGTCACCCTGGATGACGGAGGAACAGACCCTTCCGAGGGGACCTCTCACACTCGGCAGAGGTGAGACAATCGCGAGAAGCCAGGGGAGTGAGTGAACGACAGGGGGTGGGGCTCAGGCAGAGACCTGGGGGCCATGGAGGAGAGGCCCCGGAAACACAGGGCGGGAGTCCCAAGAAGTTAGTCCCGTGCACCAGAGAGTGTGACCACGAGGCCGAACACATGTCAGGACACAGCCCAGCAGCGTGGCTCAGTGAGCTGAGTGTCGTCTCATGCACCTAGAGGTCACAGGTTCAATTCTCGGTCAGTGCAGATGCCCTGGTTGCGGGCTCGATCCCCAGTGGGGGGCATGTTTCTCTCTCATCAAGGTTCCTATCTCTCTCTCTAAAAAAAAAATCAATAAAAACATGTTTGTTTTTTAAATCAGGACACTGTAGACACATACTATTGTTTGACGAAAAGGAAAAGAAAAAAAGAGGCAATGAGCAACTGCAGGAAAAATAGAAGACATGCAAGAAAACTGTGGTCTCCGAAGCAAACTGAAACACCTGGTGCTCATGAGCGATCCGGGCGGAGCCCGGGATCCGGGGCTTCACAAGAAGCCCACGAGGAGGCGGAAGGGAACAATGGCAGCACCCGCCTGGCCTACAGGAGGACTCTCACTTAACAGTCGTGCTCACGGGAGCACCAGCCCTCGACTCAGTGAGATCCAGTCTCACAGAGGTGGCGCATGGCCCGGCAGACCACATGGACCGAGGGGACGGCGGGAACACACAGGTGTAGTCAGAGGGACTCCCTAAATGAGGCTCAGGTTACAAGGACAGTCAACAGGAGAATACAATAAGGACACACCCACCGGGCCTTCAGGACGCAGGGAAGCAGCAGGGACACTGGCCTGTTTCTGGCAGAACCAACAAGACAACAGAAACCAGAGCCAGGCCGGGCTCTTGGGAGCAGGTCTGGGTTGAGAAGAGAATTCTTGCGTTGTTTATAAGCTCTTCTAAGTTACGTGTCTTTTTAAAAAACCATGCATTTATCTCTTTGATAACAGGAAAAAGGGATATTTAAATAGAATTCTTTATGTATCTGGCCAGAGTTTGCCAAACCAAGTTCAAAGAGACATTAGAATTGAATAAATTGCTGTTGGGCGCCAGGGGAAGAAAATTCTGTGGACAGAAGTGCTTGGGAAACGCCAGGCTAATTCCACTCCAGGACAGTCACAGGGACACCAGTCACTATGCTGGTACAGGTCCAGCATCGAAAGAATGGTTTTGCTTCTTGTGAGCGGGTGCTGAGTTCAAGAGTTGGGGGCGTCGCCATGGCCGGTTTGGCTCAGTGGTAGAGCATCGGCCCACGGACCAAAGAGTCATGGGTTCGATTCCGGTCAAGGGCACGTACCTCAGCTGCAGTTCGTCCCAGGCCCTGGCAGCCAGTCGACGTGTCCCCTCTGACATGGATGTTTCTCTCTCCCTCCCACTCTATCGGAAGATAAATAGAAAACTATCCTCAGGTGAGGATTAAAACAAAAAAAGAGTAGGGGGTGTCAAGGCCGACAGATGAGGCTCAGACGCTGCGTCCCCAGGGTGTGGATAGCATGGCCTCAGACTAGCGCTGTACTGCCCGTGGTGGCCCAGTGTCCCCGAGAGGCACAGCCCTGTCCTGGTCCCTGCAGCCTCTGAGCGTGTCCTTGTGCGGCAGAGGGTCTTTGCAGATCAAGCGGAGGTGAGCGTCTAAAATGAGTCACAGGGTCCTAGAGGACAAGGGGAAAGGACGCAGAGAGGAGAGCGTGTGGCGGCGGAGGGAGATGGCCTGGTGTGTCTAAGCCAAGGAAATCTAAGCACGAGATGTACGAGGCCTCCAGAAGGCCTCGCACTGCATGACGCAGACCTCGGCACCCCTGCCAGTGACAGACACACTCCCGCGGCTGTGAGCCACTCGGTCTGTGGTCATGTGTGGCAGCCACAGGAGACAAATGTGCAGCCCATGCTTACACTGATGCCCACAGCCAGCCCTCGGGGCTGTGCCTGGCACATGCCGGGTGCCGACCCTGGAACGTTAGTTATCACTGTGGCTCTGACCCACTATCCTCACCAACTAGGGCTCCTTGGATTTGCGGAGGGGAACCACCCACATTCAGACTCACCCTTGCTTCCAAGTAAGTCCTGAGCCCTTGCTGAGGGCTTATCCTTTTAGTGGGGGTCCTTCTGCCGACCCGTCTGGGAGGCACGTGAGGTGGGTGTTACCTATAGACGGGCACCGAGATGGCACGCTGGTGCCAGCAGCCTGGCGTGGGGGAGGGGAGGAGGGCCAGGCGCCACCACGAGGCCTGTCTGGGCGTCAACAGCTCAACACTTTTATGGGGTGCAAACCTCACAGCTGGCCCTGGGGACATGGTTGTGAGGCGGACAGACAGGGTCCTCCCTGCTCCATTCGCTAAGCCGTCTGCCTATGCCGCGGGGGAGGGGCAGTCAGCGGGGCCACAGCAGGCGGGAGCTGGGAGCTGATCCGTGCTGGCACGGCAGCACCAGGGTCGGGCCGGGCCATCCCCGGAGTGGTGACATTCAAGGGGCAGCCTGGACACTGATGAGGAATGGCCAGCAGAGTGGGAAGGGAGGGGACCGTGTCCCAGGGCAGCACTTCTGCATACACGGGCCCTGCAGCCTTGTGCACGAGGCTGTGTCCACTGCCCTGGACCGCGACTGTGCTGAGTGCAACAAGCCAGCCAGAGGAAGACAAATAGCACATGACCTCGCTTATTTGTGGAATCTAATGAACAAAATGAATTGACTAACAAAATAAGTCTGGAGACACGGAGGCATGGAACAGACGGACATGTCTCAGGGGTGGGTGAGGGAGGATGAGAAGAG